CGCGTTGACGGTCCATGATGGAATGGATTCTTGGTCGAAAGCGCTCCGATGACTATTTGCGGGAGGAAGATGGTGATTTGGATCTGGATTCCTGCCTCCCTTATAGGCAGATTATTCGCACAACTAGGGGGTAAAACATAAAAGACACCCTGGCTTTTCACATTCACGCGACGCGTGGAAGAAGGCCATTATTGGGCGTAGAAGCCAAGACGCGCAACATTGATGAAGAAGCCGGACACTATTCGGCAGGTACGTAGAACTTGAAGGAGAACCCGCCTTGCAACGCCGAAGACTACACACACGCTGGACTTATCGTCATTGAAGCCTGGTTCGGGGGCTACTGAGGGAGTCCCGGATTAGGGGGTGTCCGGATAGCCGGACACCGTCATCGGCCGAACTATCATCGGCTGGACTATCATCATCAACCGGACTCCAAGACTATGAAGATAGAAGATTGAAGACTTCGTCCCGTGTCCGGATGGGACTTTCCTTGGCGTGGAAGGCAAGCTTGGCGATACGGATATGTAGATCTCCTACCATTGTAACCGACTCTATGTAACCCTAGCCCTCTCCGGTGTCTATATAAACCGGATGGCTCTAGTCCATAGGACAACAACAACCATTACAATCATACCATAGGCTAGCTTCTAGGGTTTAGCCTCCTTGATCTCGTGGTAGATCCACTCTTGTAAACATCCACAATATCAATATCAATCAAGCAGGACGTAGGGTTTTACCTTCATCAAGAGGGCCCGAACCTGGGTAAAATATCGTGTCCCTTGTCTCCTGTTACCATCCGCCTAGACGCACAGTTCGGGACCCCCTACCCGAGATCCGCCGGTTTTGACACCGACAGTATTCATTGCAAAAAAAATTACTCTAAATGTACTATAAAGACACCAGTATGACAATAGTAATTTTTTAATGCATCAAACCATACTAATTATACATAAACATAAAGACACCAATACCTTTTGATTGATAGATTGATGATATCCCATCTTATAATATAACTTTTCTATCGCCTTTTTGGAAGAAATTGATGACATCCTCATCCTTTACTTGATTGAAGAATTCTCTCTCAACAAATGTAACCAAACAATTGTTCAAGTAATCATCACCCATTTTGCTCCTTAGCTTATTCTACATGGTTCATTGAAGAGAACACCCTTTCAACACTAGCAATAGCTATTGGCAGAATTAATACCAACTTAAGAAGCTTGTAAACATAGTATTGTTCATGCTCATTTGTCTCGACAAGCATAACTGAAAGCTCACACAGATTCTTCTAGTTTTGAAACCTTTCATCTCTATGCACTGAGTAACATACATGTTTAGTTGCCATGGAAGTCTTGCCATTTCATCACTTGTGAAATCATTAGCATAAAACTTTGTAGCAAGCCTAACCAATTTCTCTTGATCATAAGTAGCAAATAGACGAAGTGGGCAAAATGCTGTCATGCAAGAAAGTAGATATGTGTTTACCTCATCAAATCTGCCATTCAACTCACTGATTTTGCCTATCAATGACACACATACATATCAACTTTGAAGTTATGGTAATTCATTGCACCATTAAATAAACCCCTTCTAGGCTGGCCAGTGGGAAAGTAAGGACCCTCCATATCAACAATTTTGATCTTATGCTTTGTACAAAAAGATGTGACCTTTTTGAGAAAATCATCCCATCCAGATTAGTCCTCAAACCCTCCAAGTGATACTTTGTGATATCAACAAGCTCAATAGCATGAACAATATCTTGGTCTTGCTTTTGCAAAGCTCTATCAACTCATCCGTGTATCCAAATATTTCTTGCATCAACTATGCCATGAAAACAAACTCAAATGATCGAAATGGTGTCAATATGTTTAGAGCCGCTTGCGCCTCCGCACCATGGTACTCTTTTCCAATCTTGATGAGGACTCATCGTATTGCACCATACATAGAGATTACATGGTTCACGGTTTTGAAGTGAGAGCCCCAACGTGTATCACATGGCCTCCCAAACCCATTTCCTGATTCAGCCCACTCCCCATTTATACTTATTCCAGTTCCAGTGCATCAATGAGTTCCTCAGCCTGAGCTATACGAAGCATTCTCATCTTTTTACAACACATGCCAAGAGCATTTAACAAGTGTGCAAGTTGTTGAAATAACCAAGTATAATCACCACTCTCTTTAGCAACAACAACAAGAGTTAAACTGTAGTTGATGGGCAAAACAATGAACATAATAGGTAGAAGGAGACTCATCCATAATCAGTTTTTTAGGCCATTAGCATTACCTTTCATGTTGCTAGCTCCATCATATCCTTGCCCACGAACCATTACAAAGGTCAAATTGTACTTCATAAGCATTTTCTCAATTGCAGCTTTAAGTGTCAAAGAGGTAGTATCTTGAACATGATCAAGACCAAGAAATCTTACAGTGGCCCTTCCTTTCTTATCAACATAACGCAAGCAAACTGCAACTGTTCATTCTGATACACATCACTAGACTCATCTGCAAGTATTGCAAACTGGCCACCATCAAGTTCTTCAATGACTGATTTTGTAGTCTCCTGTGCACAATGTTTTATTAGCTCATGTTGTATATCATGGTGAGTCATCTTACAATTCTGTGGAGCATTTTTTAGAACAACCCTATCAACCTCTTCAAAATTTCTAGCTAGCCGATTTAAAAGCTCATGAAAATTTCCTTTATTTAGCGAGTTTTCACTTTCATCATGTCCTCTAAATGCCAAGCCTTGGTGCAATAAAAATCTCAAACATTTGAGTATCCATGTCAAACACTCCTTATACAAAGCCTTATATTTGTGAGATGTTTGAAGCAAAAGACTCCCTAATTGATGCTTGTGGTGTAGTGAACATATCATACTTTTCTTGAGCTTCAGCATGAGCACTACGAACCTCACCTTCATGTTTCTTCAATCTCGATTTCATGTTCCAGTTCCTAAATCCATTCCTCACGAATGCATCTCCACCGGGATATTTTGCCTTATCCTTGAACAAATAGCAAACAAAGCAGAAAGCACTATCTTTCGTCACACTATACTCAATCCATGGAAATTCTTTAAAACAAACACGGCAAAAGTGATGGTCAACTCCACTTTTATTTGTACTCAAAGTTATGATTCTTTGGTTGACATGGCTCCATCTTAATATATCTTCTTCTTACTCTATCTTGGTCATTGACAGCATACATTGAGATGGGAATCCGCTTCCCAGGATCAGGTTCGAGTGCCTCCAAATCTGCTTCCATTGGTTAATCATCTGCATCACTTGTTTCAGCATCTTTTACTATTGGGGTTGGGGTTGCTTCTCTACTCTTCGGTTCATGTTCGCATCCGGTGCTTGCACTAACGCCAATTGCAAATTGCTCTCAAGCTGAACATAGGAGGTACAAGTACTCGATGCAGCTGCACTATCTTTCGGTGTAGATGTTTCATCAATCTTCTTTGCTTTTGAAGCTTTTTCCCATAATGCAAGAATCCTACTGCCACCACTAGTTCCATTCTTCTTCTTCATCTACATTACAACAAAACAAGGAAGAAATTAGCATCTACAAATTAAATCAACTGCTTGCAATAATTAGGCAAGCAAAACCGAATCAACTAAAAAACTGAAACTTTGTTTTCTTTAGGACTGTACCTGACCGCAGGGGGGAGAAACTGCCGCTGGTCCCTTGGCTGGGCGGCGCTGCGGCGGGCGATGGGCGGCTGGGACTGGACCACTAGACTTGACACTAATGAACAGATGAAGAGCAGAAGAGGGGCGGCCGACGGGGCTGGGGCGGGGCGGCGATGCAGTCCGATCGGCGCAGCTCCCAGTCAATCCTGGTGAAGATTAGAGGGGCCTGGGGCTTGGCGGCCGGCGAGCACTGGCGGCGTTGAGCGGCTGAGGGCGGGGCGGTCGGGCGTGGCGGCGGCCGGTGACTCGGTGAGCGGGGGTCGCTGGGAGGCTAGGGCTGTGTGCCTGTGTCCCTGGCCCGACGCTCGATCAGCGAGCAGGGGAAGTGGGGATTGGGGAACGAGCGAGTCAGCGAGAGAAGGGAGCGATCGTTGGGCGCATCCGGTGCCAGCTATGTATTAAAAAAAAATTTGGGCTCAATAATGGGTATTCATGCGAATACACACGAATATCCTCAGCGCCGCAGTGTGTGTCGGTATCCTCCTGAGTCATCACCATGCTCACCATACCGTTGCTTCCGTCACCAATTTGGTTTTTCTTTCTCGTTGACATGTTTCGGTATCCCCGTGACGTAGTCACCTGTGTCTGGCCAGACGTTGATAAACGCTGTCGCACTGAGAGCCCTAAGAATATCTCTCAATCGTCGGAGGAGAAAATCCCACTCTCGAGCTATCCGGTCACTTGTCAAACTTTCCGGTGAACCTTAAAGTTGTCGTTATGATCACCTTGTTACAGTTGACGTTTAAGCAACCCCACCGCCTGATAGGAATTTTTAATATAAATTTGATTAAACTTAGCAAAATTTTTTGAATGTTAAACTTATCAAAGTTTGACTTTAGACAAATCTAAAACGAAGGGTGAAAATGACCGGAGGGAGTACTGCAAGTACGCCAGGTGAAACGACCGCACACTACCTCACTGTCTTAGAGCATCTCCAACAGCCGCACAAAAATTCCGCGCCCAATAAACATTATAGCGCGCCATTGTAGCACTTTGAAAGCGCTGGGACCAACTTTGCTTTAGCAGGTGCCCAAAAACGCGCGCCCAAAAAGCAGACAGTGCAAATTGTGAAGCGCGCGTAATCCGGCGCCCCAAATATGGCGCGTGCGATAGCGTTTTTCAGCGCGCGCGCAAAAACTTTTAGCGCTACAGCTTCTGCTGGAGCTGTCCGGCGTCCAAAAAAAACAAATTTTTAACGCGCGGAGCTTTTTTTGGCGCCTGTTGGAGATGCTTTTTAAGTGTCTACCAGTACTCGTCTGTTCGTGGAACAGATAAGCACAGAATCCGAAGAGAGCGGCGGGTGGTTGGCAGATGGCTGCGGCGGGGACGTCGGGATCGAGCCAGCCGGGTGCTCCAGGAAGGTGGTCTCTTCACGGCAAGACGGCTCTCGTCACCGGCGGCACCCGCGGGATCGGGTAACCCCTCGGACACCTCTTTCTCTTCACCAGCAGCGCCCCAAACCCCGAGAGATCCCCTCGATGGCCGACCTGAGGAGCCCGTGTGATGCGCAGGCGTGCGGTGGTGGAGGAACTTGCGGCGCTGGGGGCGGCCGTGCACACCTGCTCCCGGAAGGAGGCGGAGCTGGGCGAGCGCCTCAAGGAGTGGGAGGCCAGGGGCTTCCGCGTCACAACCTCCGTCTGCGACCTCTCCGTCCGGGAGCAGCGGGAGCGCCTGATTGGCGACGTCGCCGAACGCTTCGGCGGCAAGCTCAACATCCTCGTGAGTTGGAACCAGTCGCATCTTCATTTCTCCTCTTTCTCGTTTCTAGTATGATCACATCCATCCGTCAGAAATGCAGTACTGTATTATCGAATTTTTCTCTGGGAATACCAGCTGCTGTAAGTTGCAGTCAAGCACACACACGTATAGTTTAATTCACCCCCTAAATGCCCGTGTACTATTCCCCAGCCTACAAATGAAACAGTATTAATGGAGATAAATGAAGCACGGAGCCCCTCGGAAAGTCAAGGGAAGTGGATCCTCTAACATGAAGAAGAGAAGTCACCTAAGCTACAATTCCCTAACTTCCCTCCTTCGCATCCACATGATTAAGGCTAAAATGACTTGATTTAATTTGCAAATTACAAATCTATTGTATACATTTACAAAAATTACATACAAACAAAATTATGGTGCAATAAAATTAATTTTAAATTTATTTACATGAACAGTAACCACGCACATAACCTGCTACAGTAGGTAAGTACAATATTTGCTACAGTGCCCCTGACTTTCCTTCTTTGTTTTGCACTAGATTGCACTGTAGCTTAGGTGACTTCCCTCCTTAATGTTAGAGGATCCACGGATCCTCTAACATTAAGGAGGGAAGTCACCTAAGCTACAATTCCAAAGTCAAGTACTAAACCCACTGGCCCGTGCAATTGCACGATGTAGCTTGCGAACTACATTGACTCCCACCTGGCCACCTCTCACTATCAATCATGTCCGTGTGTTTATTTATGGAGCTTTCTTCACTTTCAGCATCATGTGTTTGAGTTGATATATCTTTTCTCTCATGGAAGTGTATATAATATGTTGATTTCACAAAAACGCACTGCAGACAGACATTCCCAATGAAATGATGTTTCTTATCTTAATAAGGCTGCATAAAACCTGAGTGCTTGTGTAGATTTGTGCCGTCTTCTTTCACTTGGTCTTTAAGGTAAACATTGGAGCAACAAACATAATTAAACCAACTACTGAATGTCCTGTAGAAGTTTAGTCACTCTTTTTCTGCGAGAAATGTTTACTCACTTTGAGGGCCACTTACCTTGGGTCTGCATATTGTTTGTGCCAATTTGCTCTGACTTTCTTCATTTCCTCTTTAAGGTAAACAATGTGGGGACAAACATAAGGAAACCAACTACTGAATATTCCGCTGAAGATTACTCTTTTTTGATGGCCACTAATCTTGAATCTGCATATCATCTTTGCCAACTTGCACATCCTCTTCTAAAAGCATCTGGCTTGGGCAGCATTGTTTTCATATCATCTGTCTGTGGATTAGTAGCCGTATTTAGCGGTACTCTATATGCCATGACTAAAGGTAACTACTGTAGCTCACTACCCGCCCGTGACTTTGACTTCCTGAGCATCTACTACGATTTTTTAGACATCTTCTATGCATAACTAGCTACTGGTTTTGTTCAGGTGCCATCAACCAGTTAACCAAGAACCTAGCATGTGAATGGGCAAAAGATGGCATAAGAACAAACTCTGTTGCTCCATGGTACATAACGACTTCGCTTACAGAAGGAGTAAGGATCTCAATTTGATTATTCCTCTCAAATCTACACAGTAATTTGGAACATATTATGAATCATGATTGTGACGTAGTATGCAGACTATAGCAACTCTAACTGCGTCGTGGTTATCCTTCTTACCTGTTTGACTTGAGGACTAATTATGCATTATTCTACTGCGCTCTTCCATATATGTGTTTAACTGCATTATTTCTCTTGAGAGCATTGCTGCGCAACCTGTGCTTAGTTATAGTGATATGATTATGTCGTTGAGTATCTGATCAGAGCAAGTTGATTCATTTATGATAGTAAACATGTTTTAGTATCAGTTCTTGATGAAATTAGCGCAAAAAGTACATGTAGGGTAACAAAATCATGTTGATATCAGCCTATACCTTCCATCTACTATCAGAGAATGAACAAAGTGCATGTTTTAGGACCAGTCGAGAGAAATTATCACAAAAAGTATGCTTACACTTATATTCAAATTACATTTAGGGTAGCAAAAATCATGTTGATTTCAGCCTGTACCGTCATTACTATCAGAGAACGAACACAGTGCAGCTGTTTGGTTATCAGTATTATCTTATTTCACAATCATTATACTTAGTATACCTTAGCTCTTGACGTATTAGGTTCCACATCACAAGATGGTAGCGGGGAGCAGGTTTATCATGTATCTACTTCCGCTAATCCACAATAAGTATACCCAGGAAGGATTGCTTAAAGGGAGGGTCAATCATGCATGGTTAGGATTAAAACTGTTAAGTAGGGTAAAATAACCCAATTGATAAGTGCCACACGTCAGGTGCGTGGCACTCCGGCCCTGAAGTTTTTCAGTGGCAATTCCTGTCACGCAAGGATGGCAATTTCCAGCGACACACGGCAAGTTTCTTGCCATGCTTCGCAACTAAAGTTGCCATTCTCGCGTCACTAAACCTGCCGTAGAAAACGTTTGAAGTTGCCATGTGCTCGTACCTGACGTTCGGTACTTATCAGGGTCCTAAAATAATGATACCGACCAATATACAGCCATGCCTGCAGCAATTCAGAAAATGAGAGTTTAATGTTAGGATCCTGAATTTCTTTTCTTGATTTGGGCGTGCTGTCCTTTTGTGGTGGCCGTGCTAAAGTTGGGACCCTGAATTCCTGCTGAAGATTGCCTGGTATACTGAATATATAAGCCACCTAACTGTGTGTTGATAATTGCTATAGCTAACTGTGGTACACATAACATAAATGTCCACAAAGTTGAGAGCTAGCAGTAGTGTCCAACTGAAACTAGCTAAGCCACACTGTTTTTGCTCCTTCCCTTTTTTTCTGTGGGCAGCTCCAGTTCCTCACACCTTGAATATGCTCTTAATGTTATTAGAACTGATGCCATTCATGGTCATTTGTACATGTGTATAGAAGCACATCAAAACTACATTCTGTTATTCTCAAATTTTCTTCTTAGTCCTATAGTAGTATACATAGAAAAAAATACATTATATTGCAGCCACATGTTGAAGCTTCTTTTGTGCAAGAACAATTGCTTATGAACTCTTGTAGTTGGCACATCTGCCCGTACTCGTGCATGGGGCGGGGCCCTATCATATAACCTCTTGGAAAATGGTAACTCTGATCCCTGAACCTCTGCTATTGTTTTTGGTGCAGCTTTTGGCTAACAAGGAATTTGAGGCCTCCGTTGTGAGTCGAACTCCACTGAGGCGTGTCGGAGAACCAGGAGAGGTATCATCGCTGGTTGCTTTTCTTTGCATGCCTGGTTCCACTTACATAACAGGCCAGACGATCTCAGTGGATGGAGGTATGAGTGTCAATGGGCTCTATCCAGCTTGAAGACTACCAAGGAAGAGGCCACATTTCGCTTTGTTGCCCAGGAGCCCAGTCATATCTTGTGTTCTTGGCAACCAAAATAAATATTCCTGTAAAACTGAGGTCATCTTGAATCTAGACTCCACGAGTATTCACCATTGTTCAGATCAGCCATGTGAAGAAAGTTGTGGTCAGAATTGTGCGATCATTTCTCAGTGTGGTGAACTATTTTTCGGTTTATTAAACAATTGCCTTGCTGTTGGATTGATTTTTCTGTAGCAGGGCATGTTGAAATTCATACTCTCTTCCATCTAGTACAACAGCCATCATGCCTGCTCACAATGGTGGAAGGCAAAGTCAGATGAGAATCAGATGCAGAAGCAGTTGGGAAATGCTCCCACTGCGCGGGATCAAAAGCAACAACACGTTATCCATTTGCATTCAAAGTTGGTGTGACAACGACGTTCAAAGTGCTGCTATTGTTTTGCACCCACCATTAGGACAGCCAAATATAGTGTTCTTCCATGTTCTATATTGCACTCCCATCGGTCCTTTTTACTCTGTATATAAAATTTGTCTGGAGTCAAGCTTGGTAATGTTTGATCAACTTTATATAATAAATATTAACATTCACAATACGAAATCAATATAATTAGATGCGTTATGAATTTAATTTTTCATATTGTATAACTTTAGTGTTGTAAGTATTGATATTCTTTTAATACAAATATGATCAGACTTTACCAAGTTTGGCTTGACAAATCTTAGATGTATAGAATAAAAAGGACCGAAGGTTTATTAAGCTCTGAGGTTTGGACTGCGGGCCAAGCAGTGCGATGAGTAGCAAGGCTCCCCAGGTCGCTCCCGCGGGCGGCCCGGGAGCGAACCCTAGCCGCCGCTAGCGCAGGCCCCTTCGGCCCCTCCTCCCCTCGCTGGCGGCGGCGGACGTTGCCGGGCGAAGCCCGCGAGGCTCGGCGGCGGCGGGGCCCTTCCCTCCTCCAGCTCGAGTAGGGGCGGCGCGGGCCGTTCGTTCGGGCGGGGACTCGGCGCGGCGCTCGCGCGGGTGCACGCTCCGGCGAGGGTGGCCGTGTTCGAGGCGGTGTGGCGCAGGGCACGGTGCGGGCGCGTTGGGTTTCCGGCGGCGTAGATCGGACGCTAGGCCAGGAATCGCGGGGGGAGGCTCAGCTTCCTGTGGCGCCGCGCAGGCGATGTGTGACGGATCCGAGGTTGCACCTCCGGTGGGTGGCGGCCGCGGGTGCGTCGTCGGTAGGCTCCAGGCCTGCAACCTGGTGGTTCCTGCCCGACGAGTCTGGGCGGGTTTGCGGTCCCCCCTCCTGCCTCCTGGATCTTCGTCACCATGGTTTTGGCTGCGTCGGCTGCGGGCGGCGGATGGGACGCCGGGGCGGCGGCCTCGGTCCGGACTCGGGCATGACTTGGGCGTGGACGACGTGCGTGCGCACGGCGACGCTCGGTTCCAGATCCGTGCGTGGGGTGCGGTCTTTCGGCCGGGCTCGGCAGCGGCTGGCGTGTGGCAGGCGCGGCGACCGGCTGGGCGTGGCGACTCTGCTGCTTTGGAGCGTGAGGTGCGCTGCTGATGGAGGAGCTGCTTGTCTGCGCTGCTGCTCTGTTTGTGCGGCCCCGATCTGGACCTGGTGTGTGCTAGCTCTTCGATCTGGGTGTTGCACTTGCGTTGTGGCTTTGGTGGCTGCGGTGGCGGTGGTCGTGGTGGTGCTGCCGTGGTGGACGACGGCTATGGCCAGGGAGGTGGTGCGTTTGTCTGGTCATGGTGGATCGTGGGATCCCGTGGCCGGAGTGAGGTAGGCCTCGGCAGGTGGTGGTTGATGGGCGGCGGTCGGTGGCTGCAGGTGGTCATCTCCGAGAGAAATCCTTGCTCCGGTCTTCTTCGGAGTCGGCGACGGCAGCGCCCGCGGGTGCCGTGATCTTTTTTGAAAGCGTCGCCGTGGAGGTGTGCTCCCCTTTCCCACGGCTTTAGCTCTGGAGGGAAACCTCAGATCCGCTGGATCGGGCGATGGAGGCGTCTTCGCGTCTTTCTCCTCTTTGGGGGCATTGTCTCGGAGCCGGCAACGACTGAGAGACCGGTGGAAGACGACATCTTCGCCGTGGATGGGCGGCATCTTTGCTGCGTGGTTTGCTGAGGCGTGGCGTTTGATTTCTCTTTGGCAATGATGATGGCGTCGCGAGGAGCTTGGGTCGCGGCATGGGCTTCGGTAGTCGGTTCTTCCTGGCGTGTCCGAGGTGCTCTTCCGTGGTTACGGAGGGCACGTTCGGCGCAAGTCCCGCATATTTCCCCTGCGATGCTTGTCGTCAAAGTCGGAGCTGTCGGTTGCTTTCGCGTGGTGGCTTTCTGTTGGCATGTGCTGCCATGGTGCCTGGAGCTGTTTGTGGGTTGACTTCGACGATGGAGCTCTACGATGAAGTCGGAGTCCCCCGTTCGAGGCAACCGGTGATGACGATGACATTTGCGACTTCTCGGTGGATGTTTTTCTTCTTTGCAGCTTCGTGTCTCATGTCAGTGGTCAGGTTGGCCGGTGGTTCCCATGTCATATGGATTGGGTTGTATCGGTTTTTGCCCGATTTTCCGTTAATTAACCGGATAATTCTTTTTTTCTTAATCAATGAAAATGACAAGTCTTTTGCCTCGTTTAAAGAAAAACAGTGCGATGATGTTGCTCCCTTGACTGGTGTTCTCGGAGGCTAGAAGAATAAAAATGTGATTGTTGCGCACCGTATAATAAATCTTGCAGAATAACACGGAGAAGGGCGTGATAAGACCTGCACGACATTGTTCCATTTCGTTTGGACTCCTTGAATTGGTACCTCTCCCGTTCATGTTGTTGAGCTGTCTCCAGCGGCCGAGCATGTGAGATGAACGCAGAGGCGAACACTTGGCACCCGACGCTGCCGAGCACCGTCGGTACAACAGCAAGACGTCTGTCTCTGTCCTGTCCACCCCGGGGTGCTGCCGTCGCGCCATTGGCCGGGCTCGATCTTCGCATCCCTGAAAGCGCGACGCGACGCGAGGGACCATTGAATTGAACGGAGAAAAGGCTTCTCCTGTTTACGCGAGCGTGAGGAGGCCAACGGAAAAAAAAATCTCGTGCTCGAATCCGAGGGCTGGCACCGAGATCTCCGTGACAGCGAGAGACCCCAGCCCCGGACGCCCAACACGTCGCCGCCCGCGACACCCACCTCCTTCACGCCAATCCTCCGGACGAGCGCCCGTGGCGTCGTGGTCCGGCAGGGGGGGCCCGCGACGGCTCCGTCTCTTCTCGCACGGCCGCACCGTCGCCGCGCCGGCTCTGACCTCGCTGTCTCCCGCCGGCTTTACGTGGCGACGGTAGGCGCCATCAGCGGCAAATGACATGATGTCGTAGTCCCAAAGCAACGCGCGGCTCCAGTTCCGAGCGGACACCGACGGATGTCGCGTGTCGTGCCATAAAATATTTCGCTCTATCGGCTTCTCCGTCGCACGCTCGGGCGACCACCAAAGATCTAAAAAATATCGTCTCTGTGATTGATCATGATGATGATTTGCGCCTTCTGTGGGAAGAAACAAAAAGATCTGATCATCAATGCGTCGGAAAAGACCAGTGCTGGATCTTAGCCGATCTACTACTACTGTGTAGATTTTTTTTCTCCAGGGCACGTCGGGTCTTATCGTGGCCGTGTGGCGTTCACGCCGTGAACAGTCCATGTTACGCAACCAGCTTTTGCGATGGCGCGTGTGATTCGAAATCTTCGGTCGTCCTTGTCTGCTGTTCTACTTTCGTTGCATGATGTGAACGATTGGTCTTGCCTTTTTTGACATCCCGTGGGTGATTAGCAGCCGTCCTCGTGTTTAGCTGCGCAACGCATGTCGCCGGATCAGACAGTGGCCTCCTCCTCGCGCGCCGTGGATTTCCGGTTAATGTTGCGTTCAGCTGAAAAGCAAGCTATGAAACAAAGTCCATTTGCACTCTACTGTTGGGATAAGGATGTAAGTGGCAAATAAATAGCGTCCGCAATCCCGTTTAGTTAGTTTTTGCTAGCTTGATAGTTCATTTTCCTCGAACAAACAAAAAACCTTTCTAAGCTATCATATCATAAGTGAACTTTAAACGGGATTAAACAGGACCCGGTTTACTCTCAACTGTTGGGACATCTTACTCCTGGTAAGCACGGAGGTATTTCAGCATATGATGAGATTCTCCTTACATTGACTCAACTCCCCAAGGATATAGTTGTGGACATTGTCATATTGGGATGCTGGAGCTTATGGTTAGTTAGGAATGACAAAAAAAAATTCGAGCAGCAGCACCACACTTGGACACATGAAAATACTATATGAAAGAGAGACTATGGGCAGCACAACTCAGGGCAGAGCAAAGCAAGGCAGAGAAAATTAGAATCTAGGTAGAACAGAATCTGTAATTTAATTGTGGCTTTGTTTCCTATAGCTGGTATTGGTTGATCTTTGTTTTTTTAGACCTTTGTGCATATTTTATTATTAATGAAAATACAAAGTCCAGGACATAGCCCACCCTGCGAGCTATGCCCTTTCCGCTCCTTTAGCTCTACCAAGAGCAGTTAACACATATGCATCCTACTTTGGGATGACCAATCAATATTCTTAAGCATTATCGTGCATCATCCTATACGCCTCTCCTCTTGTTTGATCATGTACTCGTGTCTTGAACTATTGCCCGTGATGATGGGCATCACGCACAACAGTCCTATAAAGTTGCACGAGTTGATCTACAAGACGTTTGATGGTGGCAATCATGCGCTACCTTCCATCGATGCACCAATTTTTTTGACTCGGGAGCTTCTAGGCAATGGGAGATTTATTGCCACATTGCAAAAATGTTATTTCCGACCTTATCACGAAGCATAATCTTTGCAGTTATGCTTTCTACTCATGCTAAGTCCTCCGCAGGTTGTTTCACCCATCTAATTGCCGAATTCGCTACATTCACGATAAGTAACTTTACCAATACCTTCTTTCACT